ACAGTGGAAAGTGAAGAGGTCACGGGGGTGGCAGCTAACAGGGAGTGGGCCCCTGAGTACCTCTATGGTACGGACGGGACTGCGGGCGCCCACGGCAATGACCCCCGCGGCCGTGTAGCCGCGTGGAGCGTGGTCATCTTCCAGCGCGCCCCTGACGGGCTCAAACAGGTCGGGTCCGCGTGCGGCACCCTGCCGCCGGGCACCACGGTGCCCCAGGCCGAAGCATACGCGATCGCTCGCGTCTGTGCCCGCACCCCGGGGGTCGCAGACATCACCACCGACTGCTTCGGGATGCTACGGCAGCAGAAGTCATTGGTGATCAACTGGCCGTGGCTGCAAGGGGGCGACCGCCGCGCGCACGCCTCGCTGACGTGGGTCAGGTCACACGTGACCGAGGACGAATTCCGCGCTGAATTCGGGGAGGCCTCTCTCTGGAGGAAGCAGGTCAATGACGCGGCCGACCACCTGTGCCGTAAAGCGGCGGCGGCCCGGGCCACGGCCCAAGCGCAACAATGGTGCCCGGACGAGATCGATGACCTCGTTCGTGAGGTGACACTCTTCCTGCAGCACAGGGCATCCGTGCTGCTGATCTCCCAAGAGCAACCGCCTTGGGACCTGACCTCGGATGGGAAGGCAAAGCGCAGGAAGGGGAAGAAGCATACCCCCAAAGTGGCGCACGAGCCTGCGGCCACTGAGTCACTGAGCCACGGCCCCCTCACCATCGGCATAGGCCGGCAGCAGACGGAGGGGAGAATAAACGCCAAGGATCGAGGCCCTCATCAAAGAGGGTACCGGCGGGCACATGTGGGAGGCCCACCCCACAGCCATCGCCTCCGCGGCATGCTCGGTGTGCGGGCTGTACATAAAGCAGCTCATGCCCCTGTGGCGGTTCAACCGCATAGCCGCCCACCAGTGTCGGCACAGGGAGACCCCTATTCCAGCGGAGCTGGAAGTGCACGGGTCACATGACATGCACAACCTCGGCGACAGGTGGATGTGCAAAAAGTGTGGCGCGCAGCTTAGGCCAGGGCACTCTAAAGCCACGATGACCCTCTCTAACCAGTGTGCGCCTACCCGTTTAAAGAAGGGGCAGATTGCCACGAGTATGCTTAGCTCCTCACTCCCCGCGGCGACCCCCACTTTGGCTCCCAACCCAAAATCGAGCCCCGCAGTGGACAGGAAAAGGGTTAAGCCCAAGTCCCAAGCAAAGCCCGAAGCCCAACCTAAGCTCCGGCAGCTGTTTCAGGCTCGAAGCTCGAAACCGGGACACGCCCCAAGCACGTCCCCTCCCGAAGCCAAAGCGAGCCCTCAAGAAACTCTGCCCAGGACTTCCCTTCAGACCCTCCTCAGGTAGTGGTAGTGTAGCTGCCGCAGCTGAGCGCGGGATGGGACCTCCCAGTGCTAAGGGCCGGCCGGAGGCTGGCAAAGGCAAGGGCCAAGGAGGGCCCGGAGGAGGAGGAGGCCGAGGAAAAGGGAAAGGAGGAGCCGGCACTGGCGGGGGTAAACCTGCCAGAGAGGGAAGCCGAGCCCCTCGTGAGGGAAGCCATGCCCCTCGAGACCAGGCCCGGGGAAGGCACCCCACTGGCCAGTGGGCTCAGCAGAGAGCAAGAAGCCCAGTATCAGGCCTTTATCAGGTCACGCAAAGCCGCGAACCCAAACTGCACGCGGGTCTCCAGGTCCAGCTGGGGGCGCAACTTGCGCCCAAAGGAGCCCGGCAATGGAGCAGCCTGCCGCAGCAGCTGCCTCCAGTGGGCGGACTCCCCCACCACCCCCGCCACGGCGTGGAGCCCGCCACGGCAGCTGCCGCCGAAGTGCCACCTTCCCCTCGCACTCCAGGGGAGGCCGAGAGCCCGGCAGAGGTGAACCCACTGCCAAACCCTATGCCGCCTCCGGAATGGCTTTATCGCCTCAGAGGAGACGACGGCACCGCTCCCGTTGGAGGACCCTTTGTGCATGAGGGTGCCGTCGGCAACTGCCAGGCTTTATGCCACCACAGCGGAGGGGGTCGAGCTGCATCAGGACAGCACCCCCCCAGTGGTGAGCGTGGACATGCTCTGGTGTATGGCATGTCGTGTCCGGGCACCCAGCCCAGAACACATGCAGGCACACCTCATGACGGCCGCCCACGTGCTGTCCGTCGCGGAATACCTCGCCTCTTTCAGGGGGCCCACCTCGGGCTAGAGGTATGGGACGTTTCGACTCCCTCCAGGACGTGTTCCACTCCTGGCTTGAGGACGTGTCACACTCCTCGATGTGCTGCCCTGTCGGTCTTGCCGTAGAGCCGTAGATCAGGGCGGGGACGGGTACTCCCCTAGGACGTGCATGCACTCCTTCGCACATCTGGGATGAGTCAGCTCTCCCGTAGGCTGTAGCCCTGTTCCGCCTGCGGGCGATGCCCTCCAAAGGAGGATGACTGTGCAAAGCACGGTTAATTCGGTGCACGACGAGGGCCCACGGGCCGCGGACGCTCGCCGCCTCCCGACAAAAGGTTACTGCACGTAGAGAGGCTTTTCTCGTGGCCTTTGCAATCTACTGTGAAGTGAGACTTCTTGCTGGTGCCGGTGCCGCTCCAAGCACGGCGGGGCCATTCTTAAATGTGGCATCTGTGATTCTGTGATATTCTGTGTGTACTTTGTGCCCCCGAAGTTTAAACTCCTGAGTAGCCAAACTAAGCGACCTCACCCCGGCCGTGTTCATCATAAGATCGTCGGGCGAAGTATTTTTGGCAGACACCTTTGCAAGCCACGCCTCGGCAACTTGCTTTCCATATATCTATGGGGGGGGGTTGCAGTTTCGGCTTGATGCTGGGGAAGCTTTCTCCAACTTCGGGCGAAGTGGAAAGCCTGCTCAGGGCGGCTGCCAGTCTGACACTACACAGCTCCGGTTTGGAAGAACTTTGGCCTGCTCAGAGCTCCTGTGGCGGCCCAATAAAACACCCTTATAACACGCCTTATAATAACACTTCGAAGAAACCTCATAATAACCCTTCCAATCACGCAGAAAACAACAAGTTTAGGAATCCATATAGTATCAAGTATAGGATCCCTTATAACAGCAATCGGAGGAACCCCTATATATTTATAATACCAACTAAAGGATCCCTTATCACAGCAACTACCAGCGGTTCCAGGCCCTTTGCCTTCCGCTGCGCCCCGGGGGCCCAGCGGAAAGCGCCCACGCCGACTCCCAGCTCTCGGGTGCCTCGGGCGCAGAGCCAGGGTTTCTATCTACGTTTGGTTTCTTGGGGTGGGGTTTGGGGTTTAGGGATTGGGGTTTCAAAAGGGTTTGGGATTTGGGATGCAGGGTTTGGGGGCTTAGGGTTGGGGAAACAGGGTCGGGGATTACGGGCAGTTTGAGGGTTTCAAGTTTCAAGAGTTCGGGACGCAGGTTTGAGGAGAAGTTTAAGGCTTTGAGGGTTTAGGATTCAGGGTCGGAGGGTTAGAGATCTAAGTCTAGGGGTCAGGGTGTGAGATGGGGGTTTGGGTTTCAGAGATTGAGGTTTCAGGGTCGAGGGTTTGCGGTCTGACACGCAGATCTATAGAGTTTAGGATGCAGGTTTCACGATTTATAGGGCTTCCATCAGGCTTGAGGACCATATACAAGGGGAGGGTCCAGTCTTGAAGATTTCGGATCTGCACTGTTTACCACGCAGGGCTTTGGGAGGTGGGACAGCGCCCTCCCAGCTCAGTCGCCGGATGGAATAGCTTCGCTACATGCATCTTGAAGTTGAGGTGAGGAATTCAGATCGTTTGAGGTCCAAGAGAATCATCAGGATTTGTTGTCATGTCTGTTGGAATCAACAAAGTCCATTGCTTCAAAGAAACTGTGGATTGGGAGCGGCTTCGCTTAGTGACTGAGCCAGGCATCAACGGCCTCCACCGCTGTAGCTGACGCCCTCCTTGGCCATCTCGACTCAGATGGGTCTGAGATTGACGACTAACTTCCATCCCAAACGATTGTCTGCTGCCCCTTTGCCCTTTCAACACCTGGACCTAAATCCAGAGGCCAGGAACCCGTGGAGCCAAGGACATGACAATACTATTACCTTTCAGCTTTCAGATGTCCCTAACACGTTGATGCCATGTTGGGCAACTCGTCGTTTCAAGAGCTGCCGATGCGAATCTGGGGAACCTGAGCCCCAAATCCTACGGCGCAGAGGGTTCAAGCGTATCCGGACTAGTGCCAAGTCGCTTTGGGGAGTCGTAGCTTGCGGAAACGTGATGGATTCGTGTTTCCGTTGGGGCGGGGGGGGCCCTACATGCTGATTGACTGTGGATTGCTCGGTGCAAACGTGGTTCCGACCGAGAGTTCTCCAAGTGTAAGGCATGGTCCTGCCTCGGGTGGGGTCGTCGGGCTCTCTAAACGCAACTTGGATAAGGATATGATATAACCGACGTGGCCGCAGGTTCCCCAGACCTTGCGTGTAGGATGGACGCCGGGCAGCCAGCCAAAAAGCAAGCATGTTTTCGTCGCCCTTATCTTGCAGCTTGCCAGCAGAACCCCAGACCGTGTAAAGTGTAAAGAAGGCGGTATTTGGAGAGTTGTTCGGGTGTCAAAATTCAAGATCTCTCCCGGTTGGATTTGAGCACTCAGCTTACGCTCCTTACCCGCCTTACACCAGTAGCAATACACCCAGAGCCAAATATTCGGATGCGGCGCATGCCGCGATACAGTGCTGCCCCTCAGGGTGCAGTAACCGCATTTAGAGTATGGCATGTCAGATAGGGGCACGCCGCAGAAAATCGAAACGCCGAGCGAAGAATAAGACGTGGAGCAGAGCATGAGGGAACAGGACACAGTGGAGCACGACAGAGCAATAGAAGTACAGCAGAGCGAAGATGAGCTGAAGGCAGCATGGGCCCCGAGCTCTAAACAGACCTTCACGGTATGCCCTAAGCCCTAAACCCTAAACCGTAGTAGATCCCCAGCGGGAAGCCGCTTTCGGAATGCTTGTCAGACGGAAAAGGGGCGTCTAAAAAAAAAACCGTAGTAGATGGCAGGAAGCTCCTCCAGCCTCTCCGCGCCAAGTGGGGGTGCAGGATGCCGGGTTTGGGCTTCGGGGAAAAGGTCTGGGCAAAAAGGATTTCTGTTCGAGCCGAGACCTTTCAGGGTCCTTGGCATCCTTGGGGCGCTCAGCCACGAGTGGTCGCTGGGTCGTCACATGAAAGCTCTTCTGCGTGTTTTGGCCTGTACAAGCAGCTTCGGGTGAGTTGGGGGGGGGGGGGGGGGGAAGAATTCCAGTAGACAGTAGACCCCTTCTACACTGAAAGCCCCAGAGGCACCACCAGAGCCTCAGAGCTTGACCGGCTATGTAAAGGTCACGTAGTCCAGAATGTGCTATGGGTTCCTTATTGCAATTACAGTATAAGGGGGGCCCCAAGCCCTTTATTAAATTATTGCGGCCCCTGTTCGAATAGCCGACAATCGAATGCAATGTTTGGCAGGACCCGACCAATCCGCGCAAGGCGGGCCGGGAGCGTTTTGGCGTGTGTTTGTTGATTGGGGTTTGGGGTTTAGGGGGTTTAGTTTGACATGAGTTAGTTTCAAGTTTGCTGGTATCTCATGAAGACCTTGAGAGCCCAGCTTGCCGGCATACAACCAAAGCCCGTGCTCAAAAAGGGGGTTTAGTTTGGAGTGTTCGCTGGCACACAATCCAAGCCCATGCTGAAAAGGGGGTTTAGTTTTTAGAGTTCAGGGTTTAGGGTTTGGTGAAGTGGAAAGCCTGTTGGAAAAGGGTTTGGGGTTCAAGATTGTTAGGGCGAGGTTGGTTAGATTTGAGCCCTGCAGCAAAACGGCAGAGGTCAATCTGTGAGGTCGGAGGTCTGGTTTCAAAAGGGTTTAGAGGGATTCGACTCGGTCAGGAGCTTCTGAAGGTGCAAGCCTTCTTCCTCAACTTTGCGCGCTTCCGTCAACCAAGATTCTTTCAACCGCGCTTCCTTCTACCCTGTTCCCCGCTTCCCTCAACCCAGTTAGTGCCGATTCTGCCAACCCCCATCGCCCGCTTCCCTCAACCCAGATAGTGCCGCTTCTGTCAACCTTCATCGCCCGATTCCATCAACCCAGAATGTGCTGATTCCGTCAACTCCACCCCTCCGCTTCCGTCAACACTATTATGTTGTCAACGCATCTCGGCCGCTCTGTTGCCAGTTTCACATTCAATAATGCAGCCCTTACCCTTAAAGAATGACCGGCGCCCTCAACAAGAAGCCGCGTGTTTGTGGTTAGTGAGTGAGCTTGGTTGGGGTAGCACACGTGTCTGTGGTTGGAGCGACTCTTTGTGTATCGGTTGAACGAAGCAGTTGTTTTGGTTGAAGGAATCATTCCCGGGGCCGTGGTTGAGTGAATCTGCCTGCTGGGGTTAGAATCAGGTTGTGTATGGGTTGAACGAAGCAGTCGTTTTGGTTGAAGGAATCATTCCCGGGGCTTTGGTTGAGTGAATCTGCGTTCTGGGGTTGAAAGAATCAGGTTTTGAGGTTGAAGGCATCCGCGTTTCCGGTTGACAGAATCCGCGGGCAATGGTTGACGGAATAATCGTCGAAAAGTTGAAGGAATCCGCGCGCGACCAGCTTCTGAACCGTTGAGGTAGCCCTCAAGCCTTAAACTAAATCTTGAATCCGATTATTCCTTAAGGGACAGTGCGCCGGGTCGTGCAGAGACTTCAGAGCTACAAATGATGACTACGAGAGGTTTCGAAGAGATTAGAGGCGTCGAAACCCCGATCTTCCTTGCGCACTTCCGGTCTTGGGTATATATATATATATATTCCATAGCACGGCCCCAGCAGGAGAAGTCCAAGATGAGCATCATCTTGCCAGAGACGCTCGAGGTAGATATCGTGTCTTGGCCCCGAGTGAAGCCTGTTGCAGCCGCAGGTGGCGTAGATGAGCCACGAGATTCTTTGGTTTAGGGTCTTCAGAGAGACCTCGTTCGAAAAAAGGGGTTTCAGGGCTTAGGGTTCCATGACCCGGCAGTCGCAATAGGCCTGGATGCAAAAAAGGTTCCATGAGGTGTAAAGAGGCGGAGACGTTGTAATGAGCTACAAGCATTCTCAGCCCAGAGCCGAGGTAGAAGTCGTGACTCTTCCCGCAATTGGCGAGGTGTTCTCCGAGTTCGGGGATTCACGGACTTCGGCTTTGTGCAACAGAAGCTTTTAGCGTTCACGGCTTTCAGTTTTTGGGTTTCGAGTCTTGGTTCATGGTCTGAGTTATCTGAGTTCTTCTTGGGACCGAGGCCACCCCGGTTGACGTCAAGGGACTTCCGCCGGGGTCACCGTCACCACTGGATGCGGAAGCTCGGCTGAGGAGGATGAGGTGAAGGGTAAAGGGTTCAAGCTTCCGAGCTGTGGGATTGGAAGTACTTCAGCGTCACTGTTCCGAGCCAGAGATTTCCTGTTGCGTGTGGCAGTGAACGAGAGTGAGTTTCGTTTCGTTTTGCTGGTGGCTCCGGCGGATTGTATTTTCGCAGGCGTCAGTCATCGTCAGATGGTCAGATGTTGCACGCACTCACAGCCTCGCGCCAGATGCATGGCGAATTTTACAGACATTGTAGAACGTAGAATAACATGGAGAGGTTGGCACGACACGGCGCGATGCGGTATGCACGCTACACACTTTTTCCATTACACCGCAACACACCATACAAGGCGGCATGACCTCCATCCTGTGCCCCAGGTGTCACCGGCAGCCAGGAGTACTACCCTCAGGCATGTGCACATCGCTGTGCCTGCTGGTTTTGGTCTTGGATCCGATTCCTTCTTACGGTTTGATGCTTTGCTGCACATCCTGTCGCTGCTAGTGGGTGGCTGTCATGGCATCTACAGTAGGCTCATGTTGGTGGTGGCGCTGATGGTAGTGAGAACTCATAAGCTGGCGATCGAACTGCCGCCACCTTGCCACCCCCGCCACCATTTGTCAGTACTGTGTGAGGTGCTGTGGGTTGCCACAGTCCAGTGCTCGTTCTGCTGCAATCAAGCGTTGTTTCTGGCTGATGTGAGAAGAGTCGTGGCCAAACCTTACGGCAGGTCGCGGTTTCTGCTGCGAAGTAGTAATTACTGCCTGTGAACATGTCTTCACCATCGTGACGCGCGGTCAGAATTTCTCAACAGGCCTCAAGAAAGAAGGTGGGTTGCAGCCGGCCCGCTCTGCTCAAGGTTATACGGGAGTTTCCGAAAATGTCGTTATAGTAAGGATCCTACTATTTAGGGTACTATACTAGGGTCCCCAATTTTCGGAAACTCCCATACTTCTGTAGCATCTGAAAGCTTGCACGAACAGGCTGGCCGATGACATCTCGCCTGCAAACTCGTCAAGGTCTTTGAAGTCTTTAAGGTCCTTCCGCTCATCGACGAATCTGGGCATAGAGATGGGCAGCAAGGTGTGTGAGGGAAGGAGAAAGCAGCGTAGCACCCGCTTTCCTGGCTTCGAACTTGAGTCTGAGTTCAGCGGACCATTGTATTTAGCATTTGTTACCAGGCCGTCTTGAGCTACGCAGATTTGAATTTGGAAGTTTCAGGAAACAAGGCCCCCGATGCAGACCCTAGGCCCAAAATACTCCCGGTGTCGTGTCGGCTTTGAGATCACATGTTTCCTGGGATCCCTCCAAACAGTAAGTTCGGACGAGTTCCCTGCGGTGCGACTTTGTTCAGCTCGGCGGGTGGCAAAAAAATACAGGGATCCATCTTACAAGGACGTTTAAATAAGGCCCAGCTGTCCGGGCCCTGAGGTCGTGAAAAATAATGATTACATTACGACCCCACCGTGCAAACCTCGATGTTGAAATCTGGACCTCCCCAACCTCTTTCAGCAGTTAACCCTAAACCCTAAAACCCTAAACCCTATACCCTAATCTCCGGAAAAAAGCCCTAAACCCTAAGTCGTTCTGTGAGCTTTGAGCAGACTTGGCCCCTGAGCAGATCCCAGGACCAAGCATGACTTGGAGAAGTTGGAGGCCAGAGCTCCAGAGCTCGCGGGGTCGCCGTTCCGTGCCGTGTGCTTTCCGTGTCGCAGCTTCAGACAATGCTTGCATGGCAATACTCTTCGCTTTGAGTTCTGGTTTCGATGTAACTTTGGTAGAAGATTCCAAGGATTGAGGCCCTGACATCAACTCCTCGATTCCATTCAGGTGCCCATAGAACTTCGACGAGGTTCTTCGGCCACTTGGCCTCAGCGCTGGAGTCGACGAAGCGGCAGTGCAGCGTTTGGGACGTCTCTGCGAGTGGGAGGTTTGGGTCATCTGGAGTAGCAATTGTGGAAGCGGGTGACGTCAGGTATCCCGTCGATACTGCTACAGTACTCTGACGAGCACTCACCCTTCATAATCTATTGCTCATCAGTCCGCGAAAGCTGGCGAAGAGGCCTAGAGCTCCAAGCCCGCAGGCATTGTGCTTCAACACAACGGTTTCAAATCCAACCCGCACTGCAGACTCCACGAGTATTTTTTGAGGTCAAGGACTTGCAGGGTGGCCTTGCCTCAGATTACGAGCTCGAGGACGAGTTGGGCCACGGGGGGACCAGTCCTCAGCTGTCATCAGGAGACGCAGAGAGAGGAGCGGAGTTTTTCGGGCACGTCCGGGCAGCCTGTTGAAGGTTGTCGCACCTTGATTTCTGAGGTTCGGGAGCGTTTACATCGGACGTGGCATCTCGGCCGTCAAAGTCAACTTTTATTGGGATTCGTGGGGCAGCAGGAGGAGGAATAGTGATTGTGTACGTCAGATTACGTGGCAGGAGGGAATACCTGCAGGAGTGCGTGCGAGCACCTCCGATGGGATTAGGCAAGCAGTACTGTCGCTGCCACCAACTCTGGCTGCGACTTCAGCAGTTGCAGTGCGACTGCGACGACTACTTTGACGGACTTCCAGCAACTCTACGAACTACTACGTAAGCTACTGCCACTTCTGCTGCTGGCTACACTACGACGACAAAGATTCCCTTACTAGGACGACCAGCACTACTTCTGCTCCGGCTCTGTGATCCCTCGCCATGTTGTTGCCGGCGGTACCTCTGCTACTGCTAGTTACTGACCGCAACGATGAACAGGACCAAGCCGTAGCAGTAAGTCGTTCTCGTCGTCGACGTAGTAGTTTTCGCAGCAGCAGCAGCAGAAACAGTAGTAGGAGTGGGGAGTAAGAGCAGCGACAGTCGTCGTCATGCTGGTCGTTGGTATCTTCGTCTGTATTGATGTTCGTTTGTATTGGCAAGTAGAGTTGTCGGTGTGTGCTGGCGGCAGTTAATCATACTAGTCTGCTTGTATTCTAAGTTGCTTCAGTAGTCCTTCGAGTTGACATCATGATAGTGTCGTTTGGCCACTGCGACAGCAAGACCGTGTTTAAGCACAGCCATATGTGTTTGGGTGTCGAGGCAGAGCAAACAACTCGACGGTTGCAGCGGCTCGGCGATACACCATGCTGCGATCCATGCAGTTTAAGACGCCGAAGCCCATCCCGTGAAACCAGGGAGTACCTCTCAACGTGTTTCTTTTAGATTTTGGGTTCCTGCTTATAGTAAGCGACAGCCCTAGTCGTGGTCGTCGTCGTGCTGGTGGTGGCGGTGGTGTGGTCGTGTGGTCGTGTGGTGGTGAGAATCGTGCACGTATGAGTCGCGGACGTTGTCATAGCAGGTGCAGCGGCGGTAGCAACGGCAACAGTGGTGATTGTTGCAACAGCAGCAGCGGTAGGAGGAAGACAAGCAATGATGCAAGTAATTCGCAGTGACGATGCCACATTGCAGCAACCAAGAAGCCGACGAATGGTGGCAGTGAAGAGATGCCTTGGCATGTTGACGGCCGCCGCTGGCTCATGCAGCACACATTGTCACACATGGTATTGTATATATATATATATATATATATATTATACATACATACTTAATACATTCATGCATACATACATACATACATGCATACATGCATACATACATACATACATACATACATACATACATGCATACATGCATACATGCATACATACATGTTCATGCTGTCGCCAGGAAAGCAGCCTTTTCCGAAATAATGTGCAAGACGTCGGCAATCGATACACTAATCGATACCTACCACATCGTTTTATGAGCCACTGCCCCATGCAGTAAAGGGCAGCAGAGAGCAGTGAAGGGCAGCAAAGGGCAGGGCAAGCTACGAGTAGGATCAGTGAGAGAGAGATAGAGAGAGAGAGAGAGAGATACATATATATATATATATATATATATATATACTGCAGTCCTGACAAAGCATCCCTTTGTCAAAGATGTGCAGAGCATCGCCAGTGCCGTGCCATCGTTCCCGCGTCTTGCAGCAGCTGGAAGCTTGGGCGTGGCCTGGCGCACATGAGCACTGAATTGACATAGTGATGCCGTGATGGCTCAGCTTGTGTCCGAGGCACTTCCCACACTCTATTCGGCTCCTTTTTGTGGAGACGCTGGCACTGGAGCTCTCTGACAAGTTGGATGTGGCAGGCGATGCCTCGTCCGGGCAGCTTAATTGCGAAAGGCATTGCAGCAGAACCGAGTCGCTACTTTACATTGTTCTGCTCCGTTTGTTGCATCTGCCTCCTGCAGCTACATGTACCTGAGACTTGTAAGGTGCGGAGACAATGAGGGCATTGCGACGGAGAACGGCGAGCACTGCTCTAAGAGCTTACGATGCGATTTGGCTCTTCAATTGTGACTTGCTTGGCCGGAGGTCAGCGAGTAGATCTCCTGTACCGGCGCCGTCAAATGCAAGCTTTGGCCTGCAGCCGCTTGAATTTATTGTAACCTTCTCACCTCATGGCTGTGGAATGCGCCTAACGGGCCTAGCGTGACGCGAGGCAGCTTCCGTGCAACAGACGGCCTCCCCCTCAGCCACGGCAATGCTTCGAGCGAGGTGTTGGAATTGGAGCCTGGACCGTTTGAGGCCCCGGGAGAAGGTCCATGTACGCGCAGCTTGTTCGGATGCTTGGAAGCCCAGGGACCAGCTGGCCGGCCAATGAAACGACTTTCAGTTTGGGGTCTGTCAAGGTCTTGGACCCGTTCGAGCTTCCAGAGCACGTTTTGCAACTTGGCATCCGTAGACTTGAGGAAGCACCCGTGCAATGGACTCTTCGACCGAGCAAGTCTTGAGGCTCAATCTCTTGCCGTACCTTTCAGCGCCTTGTCTCTCAGAGCAGCGGCTTGCGGACTTCCTGAAGTGGGAGAACCCGAAAGATGGGGCGCCTGCACCTGCCCGAAGGTGGATGACCTCATGGAATGGCGGGTGACGTCCTGCGAGACGCGAAGTCCCAGCGCAGAGAGCTTTGTGCAGTTTTGCCTTTGAGAGAGCCGAGTGTAATCCATTGCATAGAGGCAGCAAGTGCGTTTTCGTGCAACCTGAGGTCTTGATACAGCACGTGTCCGAAATGGGCAGGGTTGACAGGCACGTGTTTAGTGGGCATCTCCTGTGCGACACACGAGGAGTCGTGCACATGAGTGGCAATGCGCAGGTCCGAGTCAATCGTTAGATTTTCGGCACAATTGAAGCGCGCCGGTGAAGATCCCGACGCCTTGGAGGGTGAAATGGCAGAGGATGGCAGGCAACGGAAGTTCTTCGAGTGTGTCTTGGCCGTTGACAAGCCTGATGCACGGAAAGCAAGTAAAATCACAAAATGCACTTTTCTTCCCAGGCCGCTGGTGGTGCATGAGGCTGGCGTCAGCGGACAAAACCCATTTCCCAGAAAGTGACGTCTGCGACATCGTCAGCGCGAACCTTGGGGCTCTCTTGGTGCACTGCCGCGACGTGGATGTTTCTGTGAGGACTCACGCCCACAATCTTGTTGGCAACTATGGGTTTGGTGGCCTGCCTTTCGTGAAGCAGTTGATTGCTGAAGCCATGCTTGAGCAGATGCAAGACCTGCTGCCAGAGTCCGCCGAAATCAGCAGAGAGGCCTTGGAGCAGGCGATGCAGTGCACAAAGCACCTTACTTACGTTCTGCGTGCACTGACGAAGCCTCAGCGTCAGAAGTGGGTGGCCCTGCTGGTCAGGGCCCTCCAAGTTGAGGAGTCATTCCAAGACCAATTCCAGAAAACACTGATTTCTGATCTGAAGCTCCTGTGGCGAGCTGATGACGATCCTAGACGAAGCTATGCCGAAGCAGTGCAGCAACTGAAGGCTTTCTCGACGCATGCCAACAGGTATTTGCAACGTCAGATTTGGGAGCTCCGCAACTGCTGAATTCTGTTTCACACAGCGAAACGCCCAACGACGGTGTATACTCTTATTGGAGCCAGTTAAAGGAAAAGGAGCTCCGCAACTGCTGAATTCTGTTTCACACAGCGAAACGCCCAACGACGGTGTATACTCTTATTGGAGCCAGTTAAAGGAAAACCGGGAAGAACTTCCACGCCCTCAGAACGCTCAGTCATCCAACGGCTAAACCTCAGGGCCACCTCCAAATTCTTCCTTCCCACTCTGCAAACGCTTTCCATGCACAAGCAGCTAACTCGACTCCATGAAGACAGCAGTGTGCCCAGTGTTCTCCCTGTTCATCGCGGGCCAGAAACAGTTAGCTCCCATGCTGTGGCCTTGAACCTCGGGGATGGTCAGCCGAGTTCACGACTGATAACCAGGAGCGTTTGAGTACAATCATGAAAACAAGCGTGCTCTTCGTCTAGGTCAAAATTTCTGGCATTAACAAAGTTAAAAGCAATCAGCTTTTGATCACAATAACAACACGACGTTGCGAGTAGCACCCATGTCATGTTGGTGACTCTCTTATCCGTTGAGGATTTAGCATTCAGAGTCTGCTTGGCCTCATGATGCCACTGCTGTTGTAGTCGCTATTATAGAGGTTCTGGTGACTGTTGTCCTTGGGAGTGCATGGGCTTGATTGGCTCTGTGATGACCTTTGCCCACTAATAGATACTATTTTGGGGGCTCCTGAGATTATAGCATAAGGGGCCCCGAAACCCTATTCTAACTATTAAGGCCCCTATACTATAGTACCCTTATAGATCCCTTAGAGTAACCCCTCTAGACCCCTTTTACATGAACCTCTATTCTAATCATTGAGGCCCCTATATCCCGAAATCCCTTATAGTACCCTTATAGTATCCCTTAAAGGAACCCTTTAGAGGAACCCTATTTCTAAGTATGAAGGCCCCTTTTTTTGCATGCTTTTTCACTGCGGCTCGTCCGGCCGTTAGCTTCGGGCAGATTTTTTAGAGGGTTTATGGTTTAGGGTTTAGGGTTTAGGCTTATGGTTTGTGGTTTAGGGTTTGGGGTTTAGAGTTTTGGGTATCCCTTTGCGCCAAAGAGCGGCAAACTACCAGGCGTCCTTGTAAGCAAGCCTGGAGCAAAAGGGTATCCCTTTAAAAAGGCCCTTCCCAAGCTGAGCATTCTTCTGTCCCGTCAGCTAACGGAGAGTGCAGCTCCCTTGTAAGCTTTTCGGGTTGGGAACGACTGCTGGAGATTTGGGCATAGAGAGCGACGGGGCAGACGCCGAACTCCATGAGCTTTGTGTGCTCGAGGTGAAGATTATTCCGCGATCTCGACTGAAGCGCGAAGACATATTCACAGAAGAAGTGTTCCTTGGCATGCCTTTGCGAAAGCAGCCTCACGCCCGCTTCACACATCCCAAGCCCCAAGATGCCCTCTCTGTCGTCACCGGGCGAGATCTCGCCCAACCCTGAACCCTAAGCTATTGATCAAGACAAGGTAAGACCATGAGCTGGTGACCCAATGTCCGGCTGATTCGATCGGCTTTTAAGGCTTTGCGGGTTGGCTCGAAATCCTCAGCCCTAAATCCCAAATTCCTGATCCCAAACCCTGAACCCAACGCCTTAGACGGCTTCAAGGAATACCACAAAGCGCCTAGCCCACCCGAACCTCATCCGGCTCTTCGCCTCCTACCGCGACGAGTCGAACTTCTATCTGGCCGTCGGGCCGCACAATGGGATATTCGGGATAGAGTTCGGGGGGTTGTGGGTTTAGGGGTTCAGAAGGTCTAGAGCTTGGAAAAGGGAAGATCAGATATCAGTATTCCAAGCTCCAATCTGAAAAAATGTAGTAGATCTCACTTTTGGCATGGAGGCATGGAAGGCAGTAATGCATCGTCATCTCCCGAACATCCGCGTGTTAGTCGTGATAGCCTTGGCGGCCCTGGTGAAATCCAAAATGCTGACGTTCTCCGTTGAAATGCCCCACTATGCTCGCATTCAGCTGGAGCAGATCTGTCACACCCTGTTCGGTGTGTGGTGTCGAGCCTCGGTAGTTGTCATAGTCTGCGCTCCCAACCCCTGCGCCCTGAACCGATCGCAACTCAGGTCATGGAGTTTTGCAAAGGCCGATATCCGGGACAGGGGCTTCGCTTGGGGCTCGGGCTTTGAAGCGGGGCAGTTGCATGGGGGATAGAGGTGAGGAGAGGCGAGATGAAGCGAGTGTGGCAGTAACTGACGTTGCGGGGCGAAGCCATCCAAGCCTCGAATCTTCAGTGACAAACCCCTTCGTTGTCCTCCGACACCGGACATCGGAGTCACAATCATCACAAGCCTTTCAGCTACCCTGACCCTAAAGCCAGAAGACGCGGCTTTTACTCCAGGCGGTAGCCTCTCCGAGCTTCTTCAGACAAGGGGACTTGAAAAGGACGAGCTGCTTGGCGATTATGGTAAGTCAGGGCTGTTAGGGCACGTGAGATGATTTGTTTGCCATTATGCTATATTGCATAGTCGTTTGTAGCCTTTTTTTTTATATCAAGGTTGTGGATCAGTAGATTGTAGTCGATGATGGTATGCTGTAGTACATAATAGTACACTCTAGTTAACTGTAGTGTGTTATCGAAAATCATAGTATATTCAGTGTATTATGGTTTCTTACTTCACAGATCACTGACTTGCCCTTGTTAGGGGTAGCAGCTGCCTACGGTGTGCTCTGAGCCCGCTGAGGATGGGCATTTGGACTGTGGGGCTTGCTGCAGAGACTTACCCGAAACAGAGGGGCCTGGAGGGAGGGGCCTGGAAATCTGATTTCTCCACTTGTCCCAGCATTTCTGAGAGCTTCGATTGGGTTTCCGTTTCCAGCAGCTGCGGTACCAAGCTGGATGCAAACTAGGGGTGCCGGCATGTGGGACGGCAGCACTTTTATCTGAACCAGGGTTTAAGGTAGCGGTTGGGAGTTGGATCCATAGCTTTGGGATCCTCTTCACATTCAGAACATGTTCACGAACAACGGGGATGCACGCTTGTCAGCGGATGGTTCTGCAGCGACCACCAACTACCCTCAGACACGTTCCCGCTTTCACCGATGCATCGGGCAATGACAATGCTTTCGAACATCAAGTGCGGCCAAGGGACAAGCCATGCTGAACAAAGACACGAAATCGAAGCGAGTTGCAGACAGTTTTGAGCACTGTTCAATCCGGACGGCCTTCCCGCACGTCCACTGCCCGAAGACACGTTAAACCCTGCACTCTAAACTGTAGATCCTTTTGTCGTCATGCCTTCGAAAACGAGTGATTCAAAAACAGCCGTAAATCCTGAACTCTACTTAACCCTGAACCCAAAATCGCAGCTGTTCTGACTTGAGGAGATGATTGCCAGGTATGCCTGGCAGATGCTGTCAGGCTCTGGTCTTTGTTGGTTCATCTACGTTATTCCTGGTGCTGCCGTAGCTGAAAGTCTTGTTGTTGCCTTTCGATCCTACGAGTACAGCTCTTCTGGCATTCTTTGTGGCGATTGTCAGCCGTGTTAGTGTATTGTCGAGAGGCGGGGAAAGACACTCTTGCAGTCATTTTGCTGTGAAGCAAGCTCACTGAAGCTGCACTTGAGAGGCATAGCCTATCTCCACTATCACCGTATCGTCCACCGCCGCTGGGATGCAAGACCTCCGGAACCGAAAGCCCTAGACGAAACGAAAAAACGGCCAGAAAGCTAGATCCATAGCGTGCAATTAAGGTTTTGGGGTGGGGCCTCCGATGTCCAGAAGCTCTGAACTTCAACCTGAACCAACTCGATCGGGCTTTTGAACCGGGTGCGAACACCTGACTACTGGATTTGGGTGCTCGGGCAGATGAGACTGTTGCCACAGTGGCCACCGAGTCGTCATTATGAGAGCCTGTAAGTCGCTGAATCTCTGACCCTATCTAAGGCCGCTATGTTAGAGACTTTGTCAGGTTGTCTTGGGGTTTGGGATCCTGAACTTGAGCGGATCTGGGGCTCAGAAGGGACCCTGGCTGAGGGCTTGAGCGTCGGAGGTAGTCTTAGGCTTTAGACTTTTGGGTGTTTGCAAGTCCTCCATCGAAGCCTCGCATACCGTGGTCACCCGGAATTGTGAGCCAGGTGCTGCATTTACACCCTGGGATGCCTCGGATCGCCTAACCGTCAGAGTCGACACCTTGAACCCATGCTTTGTTGCCTTTCAAGGCGTGGACTCTTCAATTCGGCAAAGTCCCCACCCCGCAGCATCATCGGCGGTAAAAGCAAGCATACTACTCTTTTCTCCCCAGTACAAGGAACTAGTCGCGCCCATAGCGGCCTATGAGCAAGTTCTGCCCATGTGCACGAGTCATGTCGTATCCAGACTGGAGTCGTTTGCGGCGGCTCAAAACGGGACTCTGTACTGTGTGCATTTGTCAAACCCCACGGAAACCCTAAACCGGACTGGCCCCACAAGCCGTGATGGCAAAATTCATCAGGGCTCACTAGCCCCCTTCAATGCTAGAAAGGGAAGCCTCAGCTGGCGCAGGAGACATCAAACTGGAGAATTACATGAAGGTTTCCAAGGCGGTCCTAACCTCAGCTTGTGGAGGGAGCATTCCAGACCTAAGGGAAGAGGAGGGGAGGTCTAGGGCAGTGTAGGGCTCAGGGTTACGGGTTTGTGGTTTTAGGGTTCAGGGTTTTGGGGTGTAGGCAGGGTGTAGGGTTTAGGGTTTTGGCGTGTAGGATTTAGGGTTTCTTGATGGCTTCAAGCCTTTGAGACTGGCATGGAAACGTTTAACACGGCACGGCCAGGCCCCTCCCCAAGCCCCGAACTTCCAAGAGGGTCATTCAGGACCTTCTGGGTAGTTGTCAAAATTGTGGTCGCTTTTTTGGGTCCCCATTAATAATACGGCACCTAATATTTAGGGTAACCCAAAAAGGACCCTGATTTTGACAACCACCCATATGAAATACACCGACATGTCGTAATTTACAACGGGCCCTCATAATTGTAAGTGGGCGTCGAGCACGAGTGACAAAAAAAGCCCACTTATATGACCGAGAGAAACGGAATTGACAAACAAGCCATTTTTTGAGCCCCTTGTAAACCATTTCGAGCGAATCTGGCAAAAAGGAGTACGCAGACATCAAACTTATCGACTTTGGCCTGGCGACAAAGCAGAAGCCTCGGTGCTTTTTTGTGGGATCGCAGCAAAGCGTGTTTAGGTTTGAGGGTTCAGGGTTGTTTTTTGGTTTGGTATTTCTTTTACGGTTTGATTTCGGGTTTTCGAGGGCGTAGGGTTTTGGGTATTTCAGGGCTTGGGGCTGATGTCCATACGGTTTTGCATCAACTCTATTCAACTCCTCTTTTAAGAGCCGAGCACAGTTTCGCAAAGTAGCGTCTTTCTCTCGGTGTGATGTGTCAAGTTAGTTGTGAAGCTATTCCGTCGAATGCCGTGTTTGACTGCCATGCCTTCGTGACTTTGCATGCCACCCGGTTTTGAGAGTAGAAGCAGAGGTTCGGGTGTGGGCGAGTTGTCAGGGTAAGGCCTGAACCTTAAACCGTCTTCGCCGAGACGTCTGAGGATCAAGAAAGGCGCCAAGCTGGGAGATGTCGTGGGCACCGCTTCTTGGCCGAGCAGTCTCAGCTGGCAGTATCTGGAGTTTCCGAAAATAGGGGACCCTAATATGGTACCCTAAATAGTAGGATCCTCATTAAGGACCCCAAAATAAGGTACCCCTAATTTTCGGAAACTCCCACCTGTCACACCCCACTCCAAACCAAACGGCATGTATGACCTGTGGCCGCAGCACACCTTGCTTATGATTTCCCCAGCAGACCCCCTGAAAAATGTAATGTAGGAGCCTTAATAATTAGAACAGGGTTTTGGGGAAATTATACCATACATATAATAAGAAGCCCCAAGATAGTATAGGTAATTATTAAGGCCCCTGCTCATAGCATTAAGGTTTTTTTTTGGGCGACCGCTACATCCCCTAAACCCTGAAGCCTGAAGCCCCAAGCCCGGCGTGATCTCGCTGCTCATGCCTTGCCTTGCCACACTGCAGCGAAACTCTGCAAACACCAATCTGCTATGAGGGTACTAGAAAAGCGTGAGAGTCGGAATCGAGCAGGCAGACATATAAATCGAAACGAAGCTTGGCACAAAAGCTGATCCCGAGACAGCACGTCCCTTCGTCAAGAAGGTTTTGACCATGGCCCCGGAAGTGCGGTGCCGAAACTACGACGAAAAGGTCGCCGCCCGGCATCTCACAAAAGACGCGGGAGCTTGGAGGTTTAAAGTCAGGGGTTCGAAGTTTTGGCAGTCTCCAGATTTCTTTGGTGTTGGCTTCGCAGGTTTCTGGTGTAGGATTAGGATTAGGTGCTAGGGGCGCCTGAGGGCTATGGTGCTGCAGCACGAACTGAAGAAGCCATCATGACCTCCATCGTAGCCAGTACAATGACTGTGTTACAGGTGGATTGCTTGCAGCTTTGGGTGCTGGCCATGATTGTGCGCACTGGCATTGTTATCCCATGTTATCACACTTGTGCCATTCTTTGCAAGGATGTGTGGGGCACAGGCATGTGCCTGTACATGTGTGCCGTCGTGGCTCGCCTGCAGGAGGTCTTCTTAACAGTGGCATGAGTGCGAGAGAGAGGGAAGAGATAGAGAGAGAGAGAGAGAGAGAGCTCCTTGGCTGAACTGCTCCCGCCCCAAGCCCCAAGCAAAGCAAAGCTCCTTGGCTAAGTGCAAGCAAGAGCCATTGGCTTCCATGCATGTTTCCATGGGAACACCACAGCCCCGCCTCTCACAGGGCTCACAGCCGTGTTCTCCCCAATGACCAGCATACACTGGCTGCTCATCGTGCAGCACTCACCGCCGCCGGAGTCACAGATGCTGCTCACAGCGAGCGGGAGACAAGCTGTTGTTTGAATGGGTGGGCGACGGACACGCCCTTAGCAGCACAGCCTGCCGAACAATCGGGCGCAGAAATGACGACGAACCACCAAACAATTAACAACAAGCAGGAGAAGATGACCGCAGCAAGCAAGACAAAGATGACCACAGCCGTATGCAGCGGATACCACCCCTGGCAGTGCGAGCTCACCCTCCAGAGGAGCCTGCCACCTCAAGCACAGTCAGGGGAACAAGCAACTCAGTAATCTCGAGGAGTCGATGCCATCTCATGCAAATGGATTGTGGATCCCTGGCCTCATAGCTCAATCATAGCAAGTCCGGCAAGACCAGGGGGACCCATCCGACTTGTCACACTCCTCCAATGCCCCAACAAACAATGGGGGGGCCCTGGTGACCGAGGGGTTTCGAACACCCCTCATGCCCTGCAGGAGACGAGAGAGAGGGACAGAGACAGAGAGAGAGAGAGAGAGAGAATCACAACCTAACAAACCAGGGGAACACATTCACTCTTTCACACTCCTCCAAAAGCCCCACGAACATCGGGGGGGCCTGCAAGGCCGAGGGGTTTCGCACTCCCCTCATGCCCCGAGGAAGAAGAGAGACAGAGGGGGAGAGAGAGAGAGAGAGAGAGATAGATACGGAGGGGGGGAGAGAGAGAGAGAGAGAGAGAGAGAGAGAGAGAGAGAGACGGACAGACATAGAGACAGAGAGACGGAGAGACATAGAGAGACTGGTAGAGAGAGCAAGGGAGAGTGAGGGAGTGAGGGAGGGAGAGAGAGAGAGAGAGAGAGAGAGAGAGAGGGACAGAGAGCCCCTCAAGCATGGGAGAAGAAGGGAAAGAGAGATAGGGAGGGGAGTGAGAAAGAGAGAGATGAAGGGAGGTGGCAGGGAGGGTTCACTGTCAACGAGTAGATTTTCTCGAAAGCTAAAGGGGTGTACTGGAGCTCTGTTTTTGCTTGTGCGCTCAGCGTATGGAGGCTTTCAGAGTATTGGTGTCAATGACTCGCATTTGCTCCCGCTTGTTCCTTCTACTCAAACGAAAATCCACTTTTCTGAGAAGGCTCTGGGGTTAGGTCGCGGCGTCCTGCAGCAAAAGGTTGCCTGCTCCCAGACATCAAGCCACCTGTCCTTGGAATAAGCCAACGCGTCGAATCGGAATAACCAAGGCCATGGACCCTTGGTTCAATGAGGAGACGCACAAGCAATACGAGGAGGCAGGGCACATCGAACAGTGCTGAGTATGGGCGATTTCTCTTCGGACGCTCATCAGCCCTGCTCGGGATCCTTTCCCGAGCTGCCACCATGCCGCTACGACAGCGACGACAGCAACATCGACGGCGAGAACGACGATGCGAATAAGCCTTTTGTTAGAAGAACTGCTCTCTTCTGCGTGCATGAGATATCCAATCCCAAAATCACTGAAACTTCACCACTAAAACTTTTACACAGGCCACGTACTCAAAGCCGAGAAATTGGTCGTTCAAAAAAGCTGGTAGCACAGCGGTACATGCCCGACCCGCGCCCTCCAGCCATCCGTGCACTACTAACTACCTTACAGAAAGTCTCTCACAAAGCTGTGCAGGACGACATCTTCGATGCACTGGATGACCCTGCCCTTAAGATACAGAGCCTTCGGCAGCAGGATGTTGAACTTGCGGCTGCATGCTTCGGGGGCGGGGATCTGTTTGGTACTGATGTTGCCGATAGACCACAAAGGTCGCTTGTCTTGCGAGCTGCCCTGCAAGGAGAACCAATCGACTACCAAACACATCACCGGAGCCCGAATTAGTTAACCCAGGTACTACGAGCGACGCTGGTCTCTGAAGGAACCGGGCGTTCGGAACCTCGTAGAGCTCCTTGGCTGACTTCTTTTCTACTTATCTGCGTAATTCCAATCTTGAGTTTTTGCTTCCGGGATGGAAAGCAGGCAAGGTGCATCAACAGCCGGGTTGTCGAGAGCTTTTTGTCTGTACCCCGAGCCCAAAACTGTGGCGGAAGGGCGGGAAGCAGAGGCGACTCAGGCTTTGTGGGTTCTTGTTCTTACCTTTGGTTTGTAGGGAGTGGAGGAATGGGATACAATTATAACTATAACTACTATCACAACCATTCTTCCATTTCCTACTAACCAAAGGTAAGTGTTGGAGGGGGGCCAGCCTCGAGATGGCAACAGCAGGCAAACACGAGACATGGTTTTTGCGGAAGGGCAGGCGGGGGAGAGCACAAGACAGCCGAAACAGACTTTGTAAATCTTCAAATTGTGAAGCTAGCTCCAAATCTCACCAGAAGCCCTTCATGTTGCCAGCTCGAAGAGGCTATGATTTCGAGCCCACACCAAAAATTACACAAAGTCACCGTGTCGACAAGTTCTAGGCTTTGAGCATACAAGCCCCTTGCAAACGGCGGTGTTTCCGGGAAACCCACTGTGACCAGCTCGCAAGCCAACTTAGCTTGAACCCGTGAGAGTCTTGAAATCAGCGCAAGAGCCCCTTAAAACCGCGTGTGAGCGGCTCGACCCGACAGAGTCTTACCGCCATCAGGTCGACAGCAAAACGTGTTCAATGCACGTCGAAGGTTCGTCAAGCGCCGTAAAGACCAGGTCGAGCCTGCATGGACAATGTGTGTAAGCAGCAAGAATGCGGGGCGATTGTGCCGTCCCAAGTAGTTCCAAACCACACGGAGCTCCTCATTAAGGCCCCACGTTTGTTCTTGTCGCTGTTGTTGCCGGAGGACAGCACAAGGACAGGATATGTTGGTTGAGGGGGATGCCAGATTTGTTCGCCCTTCTTCATCTTCTTCTTCGTCATTCTATTCAATGAATTCGATGCTTCACAATCAGACTTGTGCAGGCGAGCCCTTCTGGGAGGTGCTTCCAGGCTTAGGGTTTCCCTGAGAAGGACGCTCGAACATAAATATTGGAATCTATGTATTGCAAAATGTAATCTCGATTTCCTTAGCTGCAACATGTTCATTGGCAAAGAGGCATGTCGCTGGTGAGCTGCAAAACCAGGTGGCAAAGCTGCCGTTAAAAAGGATAGTTCTTCAACTGGCCTAAGCGCTGCCCACACCTGAAATCCTGACCATCGTAGCATTGCCGAGGACATGTGCGAGTGTGAGTACCCGAAAAGCCTCCGATCCAAACTGTAAGGCCTAAACCCTTGCTGAGTAGCAGAGAAACAAACTTCAAGCCGACACTCCGTCAACTCCAAGGAGTTTAAGATGCAGCGAGGAACCTCAAATGTAGATCCCAATCCCAAACTGTAAGGCCTTAAGGCGAAAATCCACCAAAAACCCTAAACCCCAAACAGTTGTGAGAGCGTAAACCCCAAACATCCCTACACCCGGAACCCTAAATCCCGAACCCGAAGCTCTCCATCCGAAACCCAAGGTCCTTGCTGGTCGTGGACCCCGCGAAACGCCCGAAGGCCAAAGATGCCGTGGGCTGAGCACAACAGCACAGCTCTTGCTCTTTTCGATATGTGTGGATGTCTATATGTATATATACATATATATACATGTGTATGTAGATTTATCAATTTACATTTGTATTTACGTTTTATGTATATTTATACATATAGTCACATTTGCAATTATATGTGTCGGAGCATTTTTACAATTCTAGTCATAATTAGACAGCCCATCAGTGTATTTGTTGCTGTGTTTTGCTAAAGAGTGTTTCATTATTTTGTATTCCAGTAACTGTATTGAATTATATCGACGTGTACTGTATTAGATTCGGGTTTTGGGATACCATATTACGTATACTGTAGAGCATTATGTTACACATTAATGTATCATGTTATATTATGCTATGCCTTTGTTATATCATATTTTATTGCTGCTTGTCTTTATACATATATACACATATTACTGCAGTATATGATATTTCATTATATGGTCCCACATGTGTATAAATTCGTCAGCGGGACCACTGTAGAAAAGAAACAAGTAGGTACATGAATAGATAACGATATGAATCAAAAGACTTGACTCACTGATTGATTGACTGACCGACTGACTGACTGACTGACCGGCCGACCGACCGACCTACCGACCGTCCGGCGGACCGACGGACCGACTGGCCGACTGGCCGACTGGCCGACCGACCCACCCACCCACGCACCCACGCAATCAACCAAGCAACGAACGAATCTACTAACTAACTTGCTGATTGACTGACTGACTAAGCTGACTAGCTGCCAAGCTAGCCGGCGAGCTACTGTAACTGGCTAACTAAGTCCGAAACACATAAGTACATCAATACCTCTGCAGACAGTTATGTAAATAGAGACAATACAGTCGTATACTTACAAATGTGAAAAGACGTATGTATGCGATGTAGATTTAGGTGAGCATAGTCAGGTTCAAGCGGTAGCGAGACTTTTCCGCCCTCGGTTCACTCAATATTTCGAGGGCGTTTGGGCAGATTATTCAGGGTGGAGGGAGAGCTCGTTGTTTTGCAAGCTCTTTCTCTACCACGCGCTCAGCCAGGTCATCTTTCTTTGGGTTCTTGCATCCTCTGCCCCTCTGCGGAGTCGTCAGTTCTGCCTACCATCATTTGCAAAAGTCATTGTTTTGTCGTACTAGCATTGAGAAGCAGAATGGCAGCAGCAACTGCAATCGCAGGATCACAGGAGTGAGAAGATAAGTACCAGCAAGCGAGCAAGGCAGCACATACCTTTTCTTCCGCTTAGCGGGTTCTCCAGGTGTTGCGATCGAAGTTGTAAGCCCGTGGTCGCAGTTTGGCGCCATGGCAACGGAGGATGATGGCTACGAGCTTTTCGTAAAATCTGAGCTTGAGAAGCTTTGCGATAAGTTGGTGCAGAAGTACCAGGTCGATGTCCGGCTCGCCAGTGAGAAGTCCAGAGACCAAGTCGTCTCGCCGCCGAACGTGCAGCCCATTTCGCGTTCTGCGAGTGGTGTCATAAGCAATCCAAGCATCAAATCGAAGATTGCTGATGATCCATTTCAGCCTGACCGGCTGGACCTCTCGACTGCATATAGCATGGGCTCCGTCTCCTCACTGGACTTGGGGGGTGGCTCGAAACAAACTGTTGCGCAGCACAACTGGGCTGTGATGACCTCGAAGCTCATGGACAGATTCCTGATCTCAGAGTCCGAGAGCGAGGAAGAAGATGTCGCATCCTATGTGAAGGAGGACATACTGGCACTCCGGGCTCCGTGGAAGACTTCGCTGCGACAGCACGCGTTGAAGCGAGAGAAGGCTGACAATTGCAAGTCGCCCTTGCTTCGGCGCCAAACAAATCGTATGAAAGATGCAGCCATGGACGGCTCGTGCCTTCAACCACTAGTGAGAAGGCCTAGCAGCAAGATTCAGATTCCAGCTCCCACAGTAGTACCCATGTTACCCTTTTTACATGTGGGGGTTTCCTTGCTAGACTGAGCCATAGGCGGACGGGTGCCCACATGTTTACCTTTCTGTGTCTTTCAGGGGTTACTGCAGCGCCTAGGATTACTTGGTCACTCCTTGGCGTCCTCTTCATCGTATGGGACATGATAACGATCCCTCTGGAGCTCTTCGACAACGAGCAATTGAGCTCCTTGCTCTTGGTGGTGGGGAGGGTTTCTTTCGGATACTGGCTCATTGGCATGCCACTTCACGCCGTCTTTGGCATTGAGATTGATGGACATCTTGAAATGCGCCCACGGGTGCTTCTCAGAAGGTACTGGCGGTCCTGGTTCGGTGTTGACTTGATGGTGATCGGCATCGACGCGGGGTTGATGCTTGTTGAGTTGTTGTCAGACAGCGTGCCTGCAGGAGCACGATCTGCGCGATTCCTGCGCACATTGCGACTCTTGCGGCTTCTACGTCTCCTGCGTGTGGCGAAGCTGCAACGTGAACTGACGAAACTCGCCAATAATTTTCTTTCCACCTATGCCTTCATGGTAATGCGTATCGTATCTGGACTGCTCATGATTCTGACAGTGAACCACATCATCGCATGTTGCTGGTTCGGCCTGGGTCGCTGGACTCTCGTCGAAGATGGCAGCAGCTGGCTCCTCGACGCGGGCATCGCAGATGCAGGCCTTGCCGACTCGTATGCAACATCTGTGCATTGGGCACTTACACAGTTCACACCGGCAACGAACAACGTCGCACCGGTCAACTTTATGGAACGATTCTTTGCCGTTTGGGTCATCCTTCTGGCCATGGGGACTTTTTCCTCTTTCATAAGCTCCATCACTGCAACCGTCACTACTTTGATGGCCTCCAGGGCTGAGCAGTTTAAGCACCACACATCTTTGGTGCGCTTCTTCAACGACAGGAACCTTTCTACCGACACTTATTCGAAGATCAATGATGTGCTGAGAAGACAGGGAATGTATGATATCCGCCTGAAGGAGAGAGATGTCAAGCTTTTGCAAGATGTCCCTGAACATCTGAAGGTCATGCTTCACGAAGAGATGTTCATGGCTTCTCTTACGTCCTTGTGTATCTGGAAGCGCTGGAGGCACGAGGATGATCTCCTGATACACCGGCAAATCTGTCACTAGGGAGGGCTTTGGGACATTTTATATTTTCTCTTATTAGGCTTAAGAGGATCTTACCTACTAATATTTTTCAAAGGCTTTAAAAGCCCCTCCTAGGTCACCTCGCAATGGTGGAGCACATCGCCTCCCCGGGAAATGATGCCTTCATGCCCGGGACGGAATGCACGCAGGTTTACCTTCTGGATCAGGGCAGTATGGGCTACATTGCCAGGCAATTCAGCAACCTGGAATCGGAAATCGTCTCTCCGGGGCAGGTGCTGTGCTTGCCATGCCTTTGGGCTGAGTGGCTCCATCGTGGACGTCTCACTGCAAATGGCGGTACGACTGCCTACTACAACGGGATCGACTGTGACAAGTTCTGCGGGCTTGTCAAACAGCACGGGAATCCGCTCTGGCAGTATTTGCAGATCTATGGAATACTCGTCGTCAGCGAAATTGAACACATGGACACAGAGGACATCTTCGTCACAGACTTGCCCTTGGACGAAGACAAGATGGACGACATCGCAAACAGAGCCGGGCGTTTCGCACACCTGGTCAACTCTCGGCACGAGTCTGAGAATGCATCCTTGCTGGCAACACTGGCTGGCATCGGACACAATCCCTCGCATCCCTCGCACCGTCAGTCCTCCAGAACCTCGACAGTACGGTCACAGGATCACAATATTTCAGCTGTGGTCGTAAGCACTGAAATGTGAGCTTGGCTTTCAGACCCTTCGGTTTTCGGCCCTTCTTGAGGCCTCTCAGGCATTTTGAACTGCAGCTTTGTGGCCAGGGGAACTCGTCGGCGGATTCCTAGCTATAGCAGAGTCTCCCGTATCATGCCGAAAAATCTAGTGCCACTCAATACACAACGTCACGAAGTGTCCACTGCTGCATCCGTGGTTCCTTGCCGCATGCAAAGCATGTTGTAGTATTCCCAGAGGGGTCCACCCTCAAACACTGAGAGTCCAGCCCCGTGCAGCGGGAAATTTCGCTGTAAGGCTCTGGATATTCGACCCCATCCAATCTGGCTCAAAACGAGGGCCAACGCTTGTGACGTGCGCATTTTCCTTGCTCCCATGTGTTGCAGGCCACGAGCTTTGTCTCACTGAACGGTGATGGTCTTTTCTAGCTTCAGCGTGTGACAGCAGAGCTCTCATTAACTCTAGTTTCATCATGATGGTCTGAACCGCAAGAGCTCTGAGGTCCTCCTGGAGGACAAGTGGCTCAGGCGGGCAGTGTCGTTGGGCTTCGACTCCGTACCACTGTCGCCGTGGATATGCTCATCTTTCGATTCATGCTTTTCATTTGTTGTATGTTCGCTCGACTGCTGTCATTGCTATAGCAAGTGCTGATGCGGGCGATTCACCGATGACAGTCATGCGTCGGTCGGGGCCGGTTCTTATGTATGGTCAGTTTGCAATTCAGCATTTGGTGCATACATCGGATTGTTGCTGGTAGTCGTTGTGATGTTGGGGTTGCTCCAGCTGCGCTCCAGCTGCTACAGCTGCCACTGCTTAGCGCCTTTGTCGAGACAAGCCTTTATACCCTGCCATGCTATGGTGGCGGGTATTGCTGCGATTTCTGATCATTCGTACAACACCTTAAGGAGAAAGACTCCTGCTTCACCGCAAACCGCCACAACCCTCCCCAAGACCTCGTCTGGCTTGGCCGAGTTGCGAGAGCATAAAGACTACGAGTTTTCAACACTTTCTAAAACTCCAGACCCGAAATACAGCCCTGGTCTCCAAACCCGTGGATGAGATGAGACCCGGCATTGCGTCAAACTGCATCCTTGCCTGAGTGTCAGTGCCGCCGCATGTGAAGATTTGCGCAACCTTTTCAATAAGAGCTCCCTCCCTCGCTCTTTCTCTGTCTCCTTCTCTCTCTTGCTGTCTGTCCGTCCCTATCCCCGTCTCTCTGTGTGTCTAGCTCTCTGTCTCTTTGTCTCTCTATCTTGCCTCTCTGCAGCTCTGCCTCTCTCTCGCCCTCCTCCCTCTCTCTCTCCCTCCCTCCCTCTCTCTGTCATCTCTCTCCCTCTCTCTCTCTCTCTCTCGCGTTTTCGCGCTCTCTCGCTGTCTCGCTCTCACTTTCTCTCTCGATCTCTCTCGACTCTTGTCCAATTGCCAGGGCGAACGGAAGGGACGGCGACTTGGCTGCTCTGCATAGGCCCACCACCTCCTCAACACTTGTAGATGCTCCCCTCCTTTCCAGGCGGCGGGGAGTGGGGACTTCGGGCTTTGGGCTGCAAGGCTTGGTTGGGGCCCCGAGCAACATGCTGTACATAAAAGACCAGCACGATGCCCTCCAGTCCCCTTGCACCACCGCACCTTCTTCCACAAAAACGCAACCTTGAGCTGAGGAGGGTGCTGCTGCATCTCGGCTTCCTTGCAGACAGTATCTTTGGTTGGGAGGTTTTGCGTGCTGGGCATGGGGCTTTGAGGTGGTCTGGACTTCCCGGCGTCAGAAGGTTCGGAAGCAGCTTTTGATAGCGATTGGCTGTCGTTCTGAAGATTCGCTCCCCGCAGCGGCAATATATACTTCGAACCCGGCACAGCCTGTTCCGGCAGCAAGTTCAGCAAGATCACTCTGCCCATGCCTTCCCGGTCAAGGGGAAGGACAACTTTACTGAGGAAGCGCATAGGATTTCAACTGACTGCCTGACCCCCCAACTCAAGCCGCGAAAAACAAAGACTGGGGTCGAATTGGGAGCAAACCAGCCTGAAACTCACGAACGATATCGGTGCTTCGGTCAAAAACTCCGGGTGATGGCCAGCGAGGGCAAGTTGTAGCCTGACGGGATGAGAAGGGGCTTTTAACTTGTAGAGGTAGACAAGAGGTCGCCCACTTAATGGGAGTGCCGTCGTCTGCTCACCCTAACTGCGCGACACGATGGCGTGGACGGGTTCAGGAAGCACAGATTTACAGCCGAGGTGCTATTGCTTGAGCCACAGCCGGCCACGAGCAGCACTTGGCTTCGCAGCCTGATGTGAAACATGGGCAGTGGGATGTGTGTGCTGAGCAGGAGCCCTCAAAGCCGACACCCGAACAAATGTGGCCTACTGCAACAGCAGATGTAGCAACGGTAACAGGGTCGTCAGAACAAAGCCTGATCATTTCTTGCTTTCACAATCAACAGCAACAAGTACTACTGCGGCTACTTGCTGCGACGAGGATGGCTGCGGCTGCGATAGCAAGTGCTACTACTGCTCAAACTTGTCCCGCTGAAACCGTCACCACCAGGACGACGACGACTGTTACGACTGCTCCTACCCTACTCCTCACCCTAACCCTGTTCCCAGACTACAAGTAGTTGCAGTAGCGTTCGTCGTCGTGGTCGTCGTAATGAGCGGCGGTGGCAGTCGCAGAGGGTGCGGTAGTGGTAGTGGTACTGGAGGTGCTTTGTGATCGCGGTGGTAGAAGTGGGAGTAGTAGTGGTAGTGGTAGTAGTAGGAGGAGACGGAGTAGGAGTAGGACTGATTATGAGTAGTAGTAGTAGTAGTAGTAGTAGTAGTAGTAGTAGTAGTAGTAGTAGTAGTAGTAGTAGGGTAGCAGTACAGCAGCCGTAGCAGCAGGAGTAGTAGTAACTAGTCGTACTCTTACGAGTACCAGTGCCAGCACCAGTCGTACTCGCAGTCGCTGTTGTAATCGCAATCGTGATCGTCGTCGTAGTCGTCGTCGTAGTAGTGGTAGTAGTAGGCGCCCCCCCTACCAACCACCTCTCCTTAACACTGTTCTTGCTGGGTGGGCAGCTGGGGCGGTGGGGGGGGGGGGGTAGGGTGGATGGGGATAATGACAAAAAGTGGCAGCCCAAACAGTTATTTTCGCAAATTTTAGCTTTTGCTTAGTGTAATTGCATGACTCAGCCATGACCAAGAAGAATTTGAAGCACCTGCGCGATGATGCTGATGATGACGTGTGTTCATTTGTTCCTTGCGTATCCGACAATGTCTGCGGTTTAGAGGTGGTGGTGGTGGTGGTGGTAGCAGGAGTAGTAGTAGGAGGAGGTGGTGTAGCCGTAGACGTCGTCGTCGTAGTAGCAGCAGCACGAGCAGCAGGCAGCGGCACATCAGTGGCAGCAGCAGCATCAGCAGTAGTTCAGTTCAGTTCAGTAGTAGTAGCAGTATCAGTAGCAGTAGCACAGCAGCTGCAGAGCAGTAGCAGTTGCAGTGACCGTTCAAGTAGCAGCAGTTGCTGTTGGTGTTGTTGCCGTTGGTCGTCCACCGCCGCAACTACCGCCGCCGCTGCTGCCGTTGTCGTTGTTGCCGCTCCACCCTCAAAACGAAGACTCAGCCCAGGATTCGAATACTTGGTTACTGTACTGGCGGCGTGACTTGGGACCCGCCTGGGGCCTGCCTCAGCCTGCCCTTGCAGCTTCCAGCCGGGTGTGGTTCCTTTAGTCTGTTTGGGCTTGGGCGATAGGAACTAGGCCAGGTAAAGTCATTGGTCAGGTGAGCAAAGAGCTCCGGCCAGTTTTCTTGCTTTGCATAGACCTAGGCTGCGCAGAGCTTGCTCGCGCACAGGGGTGTATATCCATATCTATATATGTGTATGTATAGGTGTATGTATGTGTAGATGTATACGCATATGCGTATGTATGTGTATGCGTGCGCGTATGTGTATGCGTATGGGTATGTGCATGTGTGTGTGTGTATGTGTGCATGTATATGTTTATCTATATCGAGAGCATTTGTTTGAGATTTTGCCCCTAAGAGGAAGATTGTATTTGACACCTTGTCCTTGACACATTCTCCTTGACACTCTTGTCCTTGTCACCTTCTCATAACACCTTGTCCTAGCAAATTATAGTCGACACCTTGTCTTTGCCATCTTGCGGGTAGCTCTTATCGTTGGCACCTTGTTCGTGACACACCTGTTCTTGTCGCCTTGTCTCTGCCAACAAGAATACCTTACTTGACACCTTACCCCTGAAACCGACCCGGCCGCCTTGTGGCCTTGATTCACACCTTGCCCAGTTTAAAGATAGGTCTAAAGAGGGGGTACTTTGTTTTCGTTCTGGAGTTGTTGCTTTCTGCATACGATATGTCATGACACTATTCGTACCACGCAAGGCCACGATGGCACAACAAAGGTTGAACACCCCCGCATGCAAGTGCTCCCAAGACAAGCTCTCTGATGACCCGTTGATATGCTGGAAGCGCGGGAGGAATGATATGTTACATCTTTGCATCCTGCCGAAGGCATTCCCCGTTTTAGACTCTTCGCAAGGACTGGGGAAGTCTCTTCGCCGAGACTCTGCCACCCTGTGCCCAAGAAGTGTGAAATCACCTTGCTCCGATTCCGCGTGGGCTCTTTCGTAACCATGTACTGGGCTGTGCAAACATGTCAAGTCGTGTAGGCCGCGTAGGCTGTTGTATGCTAAAGTTGCAGGGGGTCGAAATCTTTCCTGATGCATGCCAGTTTGCAGCCGCTAAGAGGCTGTGGGTCCTACCGGAAGCCTGAGTTTAACATGGATTTCTCAAGGTCTGAAGGTCTTGCGTGCACTAAGTCGCTACGTGTTGAAGTTTCAGAGTCCTACTTTGAAGTTTCTATATTGCACCCGGTTCTGGAAGGCCCGGCAAACACTGCATCGCTTTTGCATGCTAGGGTTGTAGCTTGCAGTGGTTCTCGGAAGCTGCTGATCATAGAGCTGAGCTCCCACAATGGATGTCGCCCGAGAGCTTTGGCCCACGCGTCGAGCAGTGCACAACTCGAC